ACTTGAATCCTAATTTACTCCAAGGCAAAGATCCATTTAATTTTTACCTCTAGCATCTAACCCTATGCTTGGCACACAGCACTGGATGCTTTAAACATTTGTTGAAATGAACAGAAACAATCTATTCTCTGATGAACATGTCTTACAATACAGAGGAAAACAAACTCCATTTCTCCTACACGCTCACTCAGCAATAAACACAGAAGAATTCTGTGACAAATTACATGGAGGTTTCTCCCTGCCAAAGAAGCAATGGAGGCTGTAGCAGCAGGCACCAGCTGGGTGTCCTCCAATTCAATTCAATTCAATTCAGCTCTGAGACTATCTAGCCAGAGACAACATCAAATCCCACAGGTTGAGGGCTCAGTTCCACAAGATTGCTGCCTGCTTCGAATGCCAATTCTAAATCCTAGGATGTTTTACCTGTGCTACTGACCAACTGACTATAAACTGGCCTTCCTATAAACCCCTCCTTGGGTACAGTTAATTTCCTGGAGAACTCAGAGGAACATGCTTACTTGTTTATTATAAAGGATATTGCAAAGGACACAGATGAACAGATGCATAGAGGGAGAATGGTATGGGGGAAGGGTATGAAGCTTCCTTGCTCTATTTGGGTGTACACCCTCCAAGAACCTCTACACATTTGGCTATTTAGAAGTTCTCTGAATCCTGTCCTTTTGGTGTTTTTAAAAGGCTTCATTACACAAGTATGATTGATTAAATCACTGGCCATTAGCAATCAGCTTAACCTTCAGCCCCTCTTCCCTCCCAAAATGTCAGGGGTGGGGGAGGCTACAAGTCCCAATCCATTAATCTCTTTTTTATATATATAATTTATTTGAAAGACAGAGTTACAGAGAGGCAAAGACACAGAGAGAGGTCTTCCATCCACTGGTTCACTCCCCAGATGGCTGCAATGGCTGAAGCTGCGCCAATCCAAAGTCAGGAGCCAGGAGCTTCTTCTGGGTCTCCCACACGGATGTGTTATGCCCAGATAAGTAGATCCCCAAGAAGCTATCAGCAATCCAATCACACTGAAATGCAAAAGCAAGGTTTATTTTGAAAGTACAAGCCGTGCAGGGACCTCGTCTGACCAGCCGACACAGCGGAGGTCAGAGGAAAAAGTCCAGGCCTTTGTTTGGGAGCACTTTTAAAGGAAAAAACCACAGGGTTACATCAGCAGCTGCTCACAGTACAGGGCTTTTGATAACTGGACAGGGCTGTTCCGGGTTGTTCTTAGTTGAAGTGGGGGGGGGGGGTCTCCATTTGGCTTGGGTTCAGGGAGTTACCTCATTTGGTAATCTCTACTGGGCTGCCCTTGGTCTGCTGAGCTAGCTGTCCTTGGTAAGCTTTGATATCTCCGGAATGCCTGAATGCCTGCTTTTACAAAGACTCGGGTCTGCTATGGGAAACAGAGGCTGCTTTTTATTTTATCTTTTTTAAATGGAGTCACTTTGGCTCTTCAGATGCACGTACCCAAGGAGTTGGGGCCATCTTCTACTGCTTTCCCAGGCCATAGGACAGAGGTGGCTCAGAAGAGGAGCAGCTGGGACTAGAACTGGCACCCATATGGGATGTTGGTGCTTCAGGCCAGGTCTTTAACCCACTGCACCACAGTGCCGGCCCCCTCATCCATTAGTCTTGCCTTGGTCTTTCCAGTGACCAGTCCCAGTCCTGAAGCAACACACGCTGCTACTCAACTCATTAGAATACAGAAAACAAACACTGTGAAGAGTCCAAGGATTTTAGGAATCATATGCCAGGAAATGAGGATGAAGACCAAATATATATTTCACAATATCACAGTATACAAATTGAATTAATTCAGCATCTCAAAAGTACAGCTAAGCGATATAATAACACAATGTAGATAAATTGAAGGGTAGAAACCCTTGAAACACTTAAGTAAAATGTATTAAATTATTCTAGACCCAAATAATGTACTAGAGTTTTCCAAATGTGCAGATAGACAAAAGGACAAGGTTGAACCAGAAAACCTTCTTTGAGGTTTTTTTTTTTTTTTTTTTTTTTTTTTTTTTTTTTTTTTTTGCCAAAGCTAGACAGTAAGAGAGAGAGAGACACACACACACAGAGTTAGAGACAGTGAGAGAGACAGAGAGAAAGGTCTTCCTTCCATTGGTTCACTCCCCAAATGGCCACTACGGACGGCACTGTGCCGATCCGAAGCCAGGAGCTGGGTACTTCCTCCCGGTCTACCATGCAGGTGCAGGGACCCAAGCACTTGGGCCATCCTCTGATGCCCTCCCGTGCCACAGCAGAGAGCTGGACTGGAAGAGGGGCAACCGGGACAGAATCCGGCACCCTAACCGGGACTAGAACCCGGGGTGCCAGCGCCGCAGGTGGAGGATTAGCAAGTGAGCCACAGCACTGGCTCTTTGAGTTTTCAAAAAGCCTTTCTTTTTCTTTTTTTTTTTTTTTTTTAAGATTTATTTATTTATTTGAAAGGCAGAGTTACAGAGAGAGAGAGAGAGAGAGAATCTTCCATTCACTGGTTTATTCCCCAAATGGCTGCAATGGCCAGGGCTGGGCCAGGCCGAAGCAAGAGCCAGGAGCTTTATCTGGGTCTCCCACATGGGTACAGGGGCCCCAGCACTTGGGCCATCTTCAGCCAGTTTCCCAGGCACAATAGCAGGGAGCTGGACAGGAAGTAGAGAAGCTGGATTCCATATGAGATGTTGGTGTCCCAGGCTACGGCTTAACCCACGATGCCACAACAGCAGTCCCTTCAAAAAGCCTCTGCTGGTGTTGGTGTTGGGTCTAGCTATGAAAATACTGAGTAGACGCCCATGTTCCGTATAGGAGCACCTGGGTCTGATGCCTGGGTCTGGCTCCTGATTCCAATTTCCTATGATTATACAACATGGCTCAAGGAATAAGAGTCCCTGCCACTCAAATAGGAGACCTTGATCCAGCTTTGGCCTGGCCCAACTGCCAGCCACTGTAGACATCCGGGAGATGAACCAGCAGATGGGAGCTAGCTGTCAGGTTAAGAAAACAAAAGAAGGCCTGTGGGAGAGTGCTACATCAGAGGCTCTTAGAACAGTGGTATTACCCTCAAATTAGTCAGAAGGCAATTGTTGTGGAGATGATTTAAACTTAGTGTTTTTTACATGTGGCTAGGAAGCAGAACCAGTCGAGTAATGAATGTTTGCAATGAGTGAGAAAGTGTAAGTACTGATCTTATTTGACCTTTTAAACAAATTATCAGGAAGAGGGGTGGACACTGGAATATTTAGTTTGCATATACTCCTAGCAGGGCTGTTAGCTAATACATTATTTAGCTGATGAAGACAAAAGGCAAAATAATGGTAGGTGGCCTTAATTTAGATAAGGTTCAATCACGTAGTTAGGGGAAGTATTGCAATATGGGGGAATAAGAGGTGGGCATCTAAGACAATCACTGACTCCAACCGGATGGGCCTATTTCCTTCGAATGCTCTCACTTTTCCAGGCATTTCTTGCCCAGGCCCACAACTCAGTTGAGAAGACTGTTACTAGCTAGAGAGGAATTCTTTTTTGGAAGAGGGGTTATTACAATCTCCAAACCTCCAAGGATTGAGGTAGGAAAGACACATAGGTAGAAAGGGGGGAAAAATGAAGTAATACAAACTGGAAAAGGCTTTGTTTTCAAGGAAATAAGTGCTGAACAAACACAATGACAACATGACAAATTAAGAAAATCGAGAGGAAAGCAACAGGTTACGGTCCTCCCATTGAAGAATACTTAAAAAAAAAAAAAATAAACTCCTCCAACCAAAGACAAAATGTGTAAAACAACAGAGGAGCAAAGGATGGTTAAAAATACATCACCAAATTCCTCTTACCCTTTGATGCTCCGAGGTGGGTTAAGGACAACAGGAGCAGGTCTCGGGGGCAGCACAGAAGATGCCAGTCGGGAGGCCTGTCACAGAGCCTTGGCTGGAGCCCCAAATCTGCTTCTGAGGCCAGCCGCCTGCTAACGGGCGCCCCGGGAGGGCACGAGGATGGCTTACGCACTTTGGGTCCCCACCACCCACAGGGGAGACTCAGCAGGAGTTCCAAGTTCAGGGCTCCTGATGTCAACCCGGCTCAGCCCTGGGTGTTGCAGGCATGTGGGGAGTGAACCAGCAGATAAATGATCTGTCTCTGTCTCTCTGCCTTTCAAATAAGTTTTTAAAAAAAACTCCTTTTAAGACAACAGAAAACTGGTTTCTCAAGTGATGGGTAGAGATTGAAAATGCGAAATGCTTTTTTAAAGAATCCCAGAAAAATACGCCGTGTAGGGCTCAGGCCCGTGGGCGGCAGGGCGGGGCAGGGTGCTGGGTGCTCGGTGGCCAGGCCGGCTGCGGGCTGCAAGTCTCGGCTTGCACGCTTTGTGCAAAACAGCGGTAATGACAGCCGTGCGGCTTTCGCGTCCAAAGGAAACCCTGCACTTACGGGCGCTTTGAAACCTGGACGGTGCCCTGTAACACAAGGGTTTTGTTCCCGCACCGCGGAAAGCAGTCGTCGCGGACGCCCAGGCCGGGGGCACCCGCCAGAGGGCGATTCGGCGGCCCACGTGGCGCCGGGCTGTCACAACCCCGCGCTTTGTTCACGAGTCTCTCTTGAGGAAAACTTTCCTGCGAGGTTACGGTTTTTAAAAACCGACCACACAGCCCGAAAAGCCCCGCAGTAAGAAGCCGCCAGCGGCTGGCCGCGGCGGGCGGAGCGGACCTCTCGCACCGAGGCGGCGGACGCGCCGAGCGGCGCCGCGGGGACGACCGTTCTCCTCGGATACGCTCAGCAACGCGGCACCACGTCCTGGAACCTGCAAGACGCCGCCACGAGCGGCAAGCGCCGGGCAACCTGGCGACGACCGGGGAGACCACGCGCGCGCGCGCCCGCCCGGCTCCCTCGGGCTCCCGGGGACGCGCCTTCCCGGCCCGCCCCGGCGCGCGTGCGCGCCGACGTCGGGCCACGTGACCGCGGGCACGGCGACGGCGGGGGCGGGCGGGGGGCCCGGGCTGGCTCCGCAGCCCCGCGCAGGCGTCCCAGGGCCGCGCGGAACCCAGCCCCTCCTGCTCCCTCTAGGAGTCAAAATGGCGGCGAGGGGAGCCTGGAGCGGTCCCGGAGCCTGAGCCCCTGACAGGAGAGGAGAGGGCGGCGGCGGCGGCAGCAGGAGGAGGATGGCCGGGGGTGCTGGCGCCGGTGCGGACGGCGGTGCTGGCGGCGGCGGCGGCGGGGGCGACGGCAGCGGTCCCAGCGGCGGGAGGAGCCTCCGGGGTGAGTGTCCCCCAGTGGCTCCTAGGCTGGGGACCGAGGTCTGCCCGGCGCGGCGCGGGGCGTCCGAGCGAACGGGGGAGGATGCGTGCCGTGGGGGCGCCGGGGCCGGGGCCGGGGCCGGGGACTCGCCGGTGCGGGGCCGAGGCGCGGCGGCGCCGGACTGGCCGGTCCCTGGGCGCCGCGAGGGGCGGGCCGGGCAGCGCGCCGCCGTCCCCGGGGCCGAGGCGCGAGGCGTGGCGCTCGCGGAGAGGTCGGCGCGAGGCGGCCGCGGTGGCCGGTCCCAGGCTGGGAGGGGCGGGACCCGCGGCTCCCGGGACGCGGGCGCTGAGTACCCGGGTGCGGGGCCGCGGCCGCCCGGGTGGGCGTGGGAGCGGGCGCTCCGGGGCCGGCCGCTCCCGGGGGGCGCGGTGGGCGCGAAGCGCAGCGGTCCGGGCAAGTGGCGGTGCGGGACGGACCTGGAGCCGGGCTGGACAGGCTGCGAGGACGCGAGCGCGAGGCGGCGGCCGTGCCTGTGCGAGCGCTCGGGTTTGCCCTGCGCTGGGCTTACCCCCGGGATGAGAACTTCTCGCCGTGTTTTTGGAGAAACTCCGAGGGGTGCCGCACCTCTTCACACTCCAGCGCAGATAATGAGTCCTGTGGAGCAGGCCTGATTCACAGAGGCCGCCTGGCTTCTCCTGACCAGAGCGATTTCCTGTCTTAAACCTCCTCCGGTGTCGTGGAAGCAGACGTTTCTACGGGAGTCCTTAGCTCTGTAAGCCAGCAGGATCGTTTGTCGCTGAATAGCATCCGTTTCTTCTAGATTGCTGAGATGAATTGCCTTCTTCCTGAAACGTGGAAGAGGGATTTGAAATTGCCGTGCAAGAATCGCACATGGTTAGCAGCTGTGATTAGACTTGTCCTGCACTTTCGGAGTCGGAGCATGCTTTGGGATCAGATGTGACTGTCTTGCAGCTGGTCTCCAGGCTCTGCGAGGCGAGCGACCTGCTGCGGGTGCTGCAGCTGGCGGGCACTCGCCAGACCAGGACCTAGACCTGTGTGGAGTTCTTGGCACTGCACTCCCGCGTTGCTTTCTTCACCACCACTGCCCACGGCTGTCCCGTGGTCTTTGTGCAGTAGAGTTGCACGCAGATAGGAAAGAGCCTCTCCCTGATGCTGACAGCTACCTTGTGTCCCGTGAAGACTTTTTTCCTAACCTGAATTGAGTAAAAAACTGAGACATTTTGTTTAGAGTTTTCAGTAGGGCCCATGACTTATGTTTTGGCCCAGTTGCTGCTTGGCTCTTCCTTGTATGTATTCATTAAATTCTGTAGGACACTGTTCCGCCCCACAAAACCCAACTAGGATGTTGTTCTTTGTCCCAGTACCAGCATTTCAATGAGTTCTTGGTATCAAACTGTAATTTTAGGGTTTGAAACACCTGTGTTGTTTTTCTGGCTATGCTGCCTAGTCTCCATTCATCTTCTTGTTGAGTCACAGCAGTTTTATTTGTAATGTGTCACAAGTTAACCTTCGGAAATTCAATAAAACCCTAGCATTTTGATTTCATATTCTAGTCACTGAAACACATCCAGAATTACACAAGTGGTTATTGGAGACCTGCTTTGTCTTGTATTATGCTAGTGCTATGGGAGAAATGAAAGAAACATAATGTATGGATTTTGCCCTCGGGTTCTTATGGCAAAGATAAGATGTTTCTGCAAGAATCCAACAGACAGTCTGGTGAATCCAGCACAAAGAATGCTGTAGGTGATCAGGGAAGAGGGAGAGGGGTGAGGCCTCAGGAGTCCAAAGAACTTCCTGGAACACTTGGAACTTGGGTTGGCCTCCAGTTTACAGAGAATGTGGAACAGTTACTTTGTGAGAGAAAAGCGAGAGTGAAGTGGAGGCTAGCTTTGTGGGGAAGGAATGAAGGGGGCCTAGGATGAAGTGACAGCTGATTTCCCTGGGAAATGTTAGAAGTTGCAAAGAAGGGTTGGATTCTGTCCTCTTGTGCAAGGTATAGGGAGCCTTGGAAAGTTTGGAGGCCAGTGAGGAATGTGATAAACCTGAGGAGTGCTGAGCCTGTCAGTGATCTGTTTTAGCGTGGAGTGCGCCTGGGTAGACAGTAGCTGTTGCAGTTGCTGGAGTATGAAGAGATGAGATCCTAGACTGATAAATTCAGCAACAAGGATTGCATAGCAGGTGTATTTTACCATCGTAACTGTTTTTAAGTGTAGTTTAGTGGCATTTAATACATTCTCATTGTTGTACAAGCATGACTACCATTCATCTGTAGAGTTATCTTTGTCTTCTGGAGCTGAGATTCTGTATCCATTAGACACTAACTCCCACTCTTCCTTTACCTGAGCTCCTGTCAGCTACATTCTCCTTTCCCTGCAAGGTTGACAAATCTAGGTGTTGCCCATAAGTGGAATCATACAGTATTGCATTTTTGTGACTGGCTTACTTAATATGGGTCCAAATATGTGTTGTAGCACATATCAGAATTTTCACCTTTTAAAGGCTAGATAATATTCCATTATATGTATATACCACATTTTGTTTATCCATTTATCCAGTGATAGGCATATGAATTGCATTCACTTTTTAAAAAAGACTTATTTATTTCAAAGACGAGTGAGCACGTTCACCTTTTGACTGTTAACCATTGTGACTATTTTGACTATTGTGAGTAATGTTGTGAACGTGGGTATAAAAATATTCAAATCCTTTCATTTCTTTTGGGTACAGGCCCAGAAAATTACATATTTTCATCACCAATATGCAAGGGTTGACTTATTCTACAGCCTCATGTGGTTTTGCTTTGATAATTGCCATTTTAATGAATGTGTGTGATATCTTATTGTGGTTTTGATTTGCATTTTCCTAAAGATTAGTGATGTTGACCATCTTTTCCTATGCTTATCAGCTGTTTGTATAGTCACGCCACAAACATTTTAGTCAAAGGCAGGGACTGCATATACCGATGTGGCTATACCATGTAGCCTAGATGTGTGGAGAAATACGCGATCTAAGTTTGTGTGAATATATTCTTTGATGTTCAAACAACAAAGTTGCGTGATGACGCATTTCGATGCGTTTCTCAGAAATCGTTAAGGGATATGTGTCTGTGTGTCATCTTTGGAGCGACATCTGTTCAAGCTCTTTGCCCGTTTTTTATCAAGTTATTTTTTGTCGTAGGAGTTGTATATTTTGCATATCTTCCTGTATGCTACGTGTTAATCCCTTATCAGACATGATCTGCGTGTTGTGGTTGCCTTTTTGGTATGTTGATACTGTCCTTTGACACACACAAATTTTTAATTTTGATTAAATCCAACTTACCTGGTGTTTTTTGTGGCTTCTGCTTCCTCCTATCATATCCAAGAATTCACTGCCAAATTCAGTGTCATGAAGCTTTTTCTGTGTTCTCATCTAAGTGAATTTTGTAATTGTGGTTCCTAAGTTTAGGTCTTTATTTGTGGATATCTTGCTTTCTTAATACCGTTTGTTGAGTAGACCGTTCTTACCCCCATGATCTTGGCATCTTTATTGAAAGTCATCTGGGGGTGTGTATTTGGCACAGCTTGGAACACCTGCATGTAGTGCCTGGGTTTGAATCCTGCCTCTGCTTCCCATCTTTGCTAATGTATGCCCTGGCAGGCAGCCTGTGATGGCTCAAGTACTTGAGTCCCTGCCACCCACCTGGGAGACCTGAATTGAGTTCCTTTCTCCTGGTTTGCCGTGGCCCAGCCCTTGCTGTTGCAGACATTTGGAGAATGAACCATCAGATGGAACATCTTTGTCTCTTTTTCTGCCTTTCAAATACAAATAATGATTTAAAACAAAAATCATCTGACCATAAGTGCAAGGATTTATTTCAGGACTTTCTACACTGTTCCATTAGTCTGTAAGTCTGTCTTTATGCCAGTAACATGTGGTTTTAATTGCTATAACTTGACAGTAAAATTTGAAATAAAAAATTGTGAGATCTTCGCTTTATTCTTTTTCCTGTTTTTTTTTTTTTTTTTTTGGTTTTGTTTTTTTTTGGGGGGGGGCATACAGAATTCTTTGAGATCCTATATGAATTTTAGGATGGATTTTTTTCTATTTCTGCAAAAATATGCTACTGTGATTTTGTTAGGCATTTTATTGAACCTGTAGGTTGCTTTGGGTAGTATTGACATTTTTACAATATTAAGGCTTCCAATTAATGAACACAGGATGTCTTTCTGTTTATTTTGTCTGATTTCTTTCAGCAATGCTTCATTCATAGTGCTTTCAGCATGAAAGTCTTCGTTAAGTTTATTCCCAAGTGTTTTATATCTGCGGCTACTGTGAGTGGGACAATTCTCTTACTTTCCCTTTTGGAACGTTCGTTGAGGGCATAAGAACACAACTCATTTCTGCTTGTTGATTTTGTATTCTGCAACTTTGCAGAATTTATTTGTTGTTGTAAGAAGCTTTTGGTGGAATAGTTAGTTTTCTACATACAAGGTTTTGTCATCTGCAGACAGTTAAGGTACTTACTCCTTCCTAATTTGAATGACACTTTTTTCTTGCCTAATTGTTCGTCTAGGGCTTCTGTACCATGTTGATTTGAAGACACAAAAGCAGACATCTTCAACTTGTTTCTGTTCTTGGAGGAAAAATGTTTAATCTTTGATCATTGGGTTTGGTGTTTGTATGGATTTTCTAAATATATGACCTTTTTGATGTTGAGACAGTTTTCTTTTAACCCTGGTTTGTTGAGTATTTTAGCAAGTCTGTATTAAAAGTCATCTATGGGTGCTGAAAGTGTTTTTAGCTTGGTGAATGAGAAAATTCTGGTGTCATTGGGAGAATGCTGTATTTCTGTGAACTTGATATCTTTAGATATTATCGTTGTACATTTGCAGACCTGTTTGAAGAAAGAATAGTGCTATAGTTACCCAGTGGGCAAGACTGATATTAATCAAATAATACAAATATATGCCTGACTAATTGTTATTTGGTTTTGCTCACAGCTATATTCCTAGTAT